TTTTTTGAAATCGATCACTGTTTGTAATCTTCGTCAATTCATCTCAATTTAGAGCAGTGAGCCCTATGTATTGATCAGGTAGACGGAACATTCCGTAGTCAAATTCAGAATAAAAACAAAGGCCTAACAATTGGTATGAAACAAGTCAGCCAAAACGACCCAATGATAGGTTATATTTGCTAACAAGGTCATTATAGCGACTATAAAATTCGCGAAATACAGACGTTAAACGAGGTGTTGAAATCCCTGTAACATCAACTTATTTGTCAGTAACCTGCCTCGGTTTAAGAATTGATCGTACTCTTACATGTAGCATGCTCTTGAGTATGAACTATTTTTATTTTTCACCTTCTGTGCCTGGTACATGGCGTGAATGAGGAAGTCTAGTTCCAGATATGCAAAAATAATTTTTTCCGAATAAAATTCTACTTTCCTGCTTTTAAAAAGGAAAAGATATCGTGTCCTGCACAACATGGATTGCAGAAATTGGTATAACCATGCATTTTTGACTTACAAAAATTAATTGGCCTTCTTTCTAAGGAACAAAAAGGACGAAATTTTTATTAAAAGTCATTTGTGATGTCCATAAGAAAAAATTGCTATAGTTAACTATAGTTTACTATAGTTAACTACAGTTAACTATAGTTATTACTTTGATAATTTGCTTTATTTTGAAACTTTACTCAAGAACTTTTTTTAGATTTCGAAGCTCAAATCTATTTAAAAAAATCAATACAATAATATAAAATTTGGAAATAGTATGTGAATACACAAGTAATTTTTTTTATTGAATATTAAATATGTGCATGTATGAAGTGGAGAATATAGAATATAACAATCTGGAAACCATAGTAAAATACTCTGAATACTTTTACTTACAAAAGTAAAAACATTGATTTACGATTGAAAAAAACTTTGATACTATAGATAACTAAATTATAGAGTATTTTTTGAGGGGGGGGGGGGGCACAAGCTATTTAGGTACAAGTACCTTATTCAAAAAGCGTGAAAAACCAACCTGAGATAAACTCAGATTCCTTGTATAGGAATATGTATGACAGATCAATATGTAAATCAGACATCTTTTCATTTACCGTATTCATTTTTTAGGTCACCTGATAACTCAGGTGGCCTAATACTATCTGTTTTCGTCTGTGGGCGTGCGACGTGCGTCGCCAGTCGTCCGTTAACATTTGAATATTTTCAGGCTGTATTAACCATAAAAATCTATCTCTGCTCCTGGGTATTTATTTATCAGATTTGTGGAATTCTTGACCACTGAGTCAGGGGTTCTGGTGCTAGGAATGTCTCTATTAATCATGTAAGAAATTTCTATTTCATTTTGAGAGAGTTCTTCCCCCTTTTTACTCACCCATGATATTTAATTACTATATATAATGTATAATATAAAAGTTTTTGATGGTCAGGTAAATATGTAAATAATAGATGAATAAATAGATATTTTATACATTAAATGTTATTTAAAGAGCAAGAGGAGCCAGAGGTCTAATAATGTTATAGGGCTTAATTAATTGTTCATTACGCTCAAGTCCTAAGTTGGTGATGGTGATAAAGTGTACATAAATGTTAATTTTGAGTGATTGCTGAATACTTCTGATACTTCTATTTCTGTTGTTTTTAAGCCACGTTACTTCATCTGTCAGTTTATCTTGTTTTATTATGTGACCGAGTGATATAGAGACGTAAATGATGTTTCTAGTGTTTGATCACATCAAAAAGGTGATTCTACAAAGAAATATAAGTATTTGTAAATATATACGATTTATACATAGAAATGCATTACATATGACAAGGGAATACATATTCCAACTTTATTATAATTTTAGTTATATACTAAGAAAATTTGTAAAGTTATCAACATATAATAAAATACATTGTGCGAGGTGGCGAGGTCTACAGTAAGGAATTACCTGATCCGCAGTAATTTAATTTGAGATTTGGTTCGCTTTTATTACAAAAGAAAAGATCTGATTTGACAGTTCATTATGTCAAATAACCAATGAGAAGTCATAGCCAATAATAAAGCCAAGAAATGTTCATCAACTCAATCCACCTGCGCACACAAACTACCTTAACTTTCATTCTCAATGACAGCGTTAATTTACTTGAAATGGGAACATTTATTTAAAATGCGAAATTGCAATAAATATATTTAATATATACATAATTGCCCACAGTTATATAATTATTAAAGTGTCATTCCATTGATCCTAATTTACAGGGTTGGATTGACCGTTAATTTTATGGCCATTGGGCCTTGTTGTCTATAGCGTTGGGGAATAATGATATATCGATTACCTCACATAGTAATAGGACATACATGTACATAAATTTGGGCGATTTGCTTGTAGTAATCGCAAAAAGACCAATTACTTCTTTACGAAAAAAAAAAAAATTTATTGCCATTGTAACAAAGGCCCAAGAGAAACAGAGGGCATGTTGACAAACTAGTCTGTGATTTGGCTCAAGGTTTAGAGAAATTTTACAAGGGTTAAATAGTAAAAGACATTCTCTCGTTTTTATTGTGATGAAGTTCGATGTTTTACCGATTACAGGCAATAAGAGAAAGGTAGAGTCTTGCAAACAATAATTTCTGAAAGAAGGCATTTACTTTTCTTTAAAAATGAAATTCTGCTATTTCAATATCGCTTGAATATTTCAGATAAGTTCAATTTAAAGTAAATGATTCGATAGAATTTACTTTCTGCTGTAATGAAAATGGACAGTTTGCAAGAACATTGCATGAAATATATGGAGATAACGAACAGTATTCAAGCTCAAAAGTCCATTAAACAATACAAACACGGACCTCGATCCAAAACATCAGAGGTGGGAGCAGGTGCCATGGAGGAGTGAGTACCCTCTGCCGACCGGTCACACCCGCCGTGTGCTCCTTGTCATGATCGGGAAATAGAACTTACGAAATGATGACTTTAATTGAGACTGCTGATATTCTTGTTTCATCAACTTGTTTGTCAATAATTTACCTCGTTTTAGAAATTGTACATACGTAGAGCATGCTCTTGCGTATCGAATCAACTGAGAGATATATACCCCGTATGCAGGTGATGAAGGTATATCGCTGCATAAGTAAGGGAAGTTGACGATTGAAAAGTTAAAGTCATCACGTTTATCATAAAGCTTGGTTGTTAGATTACCATTAACGTCTTTTTCTGGTAAAATATCCAAATATGAAACAGATGTGTCAGGCTCTGTGGTATCTTTTATCTCAAGCTCACCAGGATATATCGTATCGACAAAATAATGGAAATAGCCATTGTTAATTGACAATACGTCGTCGATATATCTAAATGTCGAGTTGAAGGTCACAGCAAGTGTTTTCTTCTTTTCAAGTATAAGATTTTGGACAAATTCTGCTTCATATGAATACAAAAAAAGGTCTGCTAATAACGGGGCGCAATTGGTACCCATGGAAATTCCAATAGATTGTTGGAAGACCTGGTCTCAAAAAAAAAAACAAAAAAAAAACAAAAAAAAAAAAAAACATAGATATTGTAAATCAGAAACTCAAGCATCTTTTTAATGTCAACTTCAGAGTACTTGTGTGTACAATCAAAATGTTTTTTTAACAAAATAATTTTGCATATGACCAATGACAAGGTAAGTAATTTTACGAGTTCCATTTTTATTGAAAAAGCAGCTGTCAATGATATCAAAAAGCCTGGACTTTAATTCATCGTGGGGAATGGTTGTGTATAAAGTTGAAAAGTCGTTTTAAGCTGTTGATTTTGGTAAAATCTTGTGATTTCAAATGTTCCAAAAGTTCCTTTGAATTTTTAAGTATCCACATCTGATATACACCACTTCTCGAATATATTGTTGCACAGTACTCTTGAAGTTTCTCCTTCACTACTGTAAATATCTTAGTGAGGAGTAAAGAAAGAGGCTTGGTTGAACTAAAATGTAAAAGTCAAATATATAAATAAATAAATAAATATCTTTGTACATCCAAAAAAAAAAAAATGCTTAATTGCATCTAGGAACTGTCAATTGTTCATCATACAAGCAATCATACTGGTATTTTTCATAGTCTCTTTGGAATTTATGCCCTTTTAATGCTTAAATTCTAAAAAAAGTTTTCTATTTACTTCATAGGGTCATTCCTTACTTCTAATTAAATCATATAAACATTTCCCAGATGTATAAAATCATTTAATGATTTAGAAAACATGTAAACCATGGGACTTTTTCTTAAAGAAAAAATAATGAAACAATTCTTTAATTGTGAATTTAATCTAATTAAAATAAAGATACATGTTGATATTTTCTTTTCCCTCACCCTGACTACTTTGATACAAAAATTTATTTCCTGCTGCATTTCAGACAACTTTACTTCTTAGATTCTAATCTAAAGAAATTTGAAGATAACAAACGGTAATCAAGCTAAAAAGCCCATTAAAACAATACAAACTGGGAGCAGATCAAAAAGGGACCTCTAAAACATCAGAAGTGGGATCAGGTGCCATGGAGGAGTAAGCATCCCCTGTCGACCGATCACACTCGTCATGTGCTTCTTGTCATCTGTAGTCAATTCAGTGTGAGAATAATGGCCTAAAAATTTGCATGAAAAACCTCAGCCAACATAGTGCGGACGAGAGTCAAGTCAAGTCAGACACTTTATTTACATTAAGAAACTTCATGATATCTTATTTTAGAGTGCAAATATGAAGGAATGAGTGAAATGCATTTTTAATGATATGCAATATCATTTATGCATATATACGCTACGGAAAAAGATGAGAATTCAAGTTGAGATATATATAAAAACGTTTTTCAATTGTGTTAAATATATTGAAGACCAATAAGCAGATCGAAATAACAGCTGGTAACTTTACTGTAAGGAAATTTAATTGTTTTATATTTAATGTTAAGTAGACAAATAAGAATACAACAATGCTATCTTGTTGGATGTGGATATGGTTTTCTTGGTGACCCTAAGGATGATGAAGATTTTATTATTTACAAATGCTTTCATTCATTTTGACGTTCTGAATTGTATCAAACACCTCAGAGTTTCCGGAGTATGTCATTCAGCAGGGTACGTAATTAAAGTTTGATCTTAAGAATTTTTGTGAAATTTTATGACGCTCAGGATTCCGGCAAGAAAGTAATTTCTTTCGCAGTGATGCAGTTCGATGTTGCACCGATTACAGACAAGACGGGGGAATATGCATACGTAAGTGAATATATTTAATTAATGACGAAATGCGCTAATTCCATGTCAAAATAAAATATGCTTTTTTCTTGATGTCTTTTTGATTCTTAACGTGTTTATCTATAATAAAGATACAAGATACAGCATAAAATTATCTATGCTGAAAAAAGATTGAAATTTTCCCCGTATATTATTGTGTTTGTAAAAGTCAAAACTTAAAATAAAAGTTTGTAAAATTAAATAAAATTGAAAGGATGCTGAAAGCTATATAGGAGATGTCTTGTTATTGTTTACACTCGTTGATAAATAATTTGCGGTTTTGATGAAGTTAATTATTACAAAAGTATTACATTTAAAAAAAAAATTATTTTTTCTTTCGCAACAGCTTGCATTGGATCTTTTGGCATTAACTGTACTGGTGGGGTATGTGTAGAAGGGTTCTATGGCTTTGGTTGCAGAGGGATTTGTAACTGCAGTAAAGACGAAATATGTGACCGTCGACTTGGTTGTGAAAAAAAAACTTTGGAAAAAGATAACACTGCAGCAGGTAACTTTATTGAAAACTAAAAAAAATGAACTTACAAAAGCTACTAAAAAGTTTTTGAGTTTGACATTTAATTTGAAATGTTTGTTTTCTCCCCCCCCCCCTCCCCCCCGTTTTACATCAGACCTTCGGTTAGAAAAGTAATTATATGAATACATTGCAGGGACTTCAAGTACTGCTGTGATAATCCTACTGTCCGGTCTTATACTCTGTCTGATTTTTCTTCTATTAGGAATGGGAATACGAAGGTAGTTATACATTGATTATTACACGTATTTTGAAGAATAATTGAGACAATGAAGGAATAATATGATTTAATCTATTTGAGTCTTCTTTTTTCTTCTAGCAAGATATTACTCAGTCGCCAAGGTGTCCATGAAAATTATCGGAGGGAAGATGCCAATACTACAAACACTGAATCCCACAGTAATGGAACAGAAGAATATCAAAGCTACAATGAATGTTATCCAATTAGTATGACCGGGACTGACCCAGACAATGATTTTGCTCACTCTAGCTATGCTGATCAGATTTCCGGGCACTATATTGCAGTAAATACGACACATCCACCACGTGAGGGGGTTTTAACGTCTATACAACAAGCTTTTGAAGAGAACAGGAAGAGGAATGGAATACTCCATTTACTCTCCAAAAGAAAACCTTTATCACGTAACACAAGTCTTGGATGTAGCTATCTTTCTGTTCTCGAGAGTCATCAGAATTGTGTTAATGGAGATGAATCTTGAAAAACTCTCAAAAATTGCAAGGGTTGGGTTAAAGCAACTGAATGAAAAAAAAGTCTTCTTGTACTCTTGATAAATGAAGCAAGCATTTTCATTTGACTTGCATTTTAAACTAGATAGCGTTTTATGAATATAAGATTATTTCTTTAATCAAATTTTGCTGCATTAAATTGAATTAAATTCAATGCCTCAAGTAAAGAAATGAACGAAGCGACTGCTCTCTGTTTATATATGATCAAGACTATAAAATGAAGGAGGCTGATACCGGAATTTATCAAGGAGTTTAAATTTTTGGAAAAAAGTGATTCTTTGGGAACTTTTGCATATTTTCACTTATATTAAAGTAAAAGTGGTTTATATTATTATAATTAAATAAAGTAAACAACCATATTTAACATATGTTCTGTAAAATCTATTTGAAAGACAATTCTAAAACAGAGGGGTTTGAAAAGAAACCTTTAATTTATACATTTAAGGTGATTTTGATAAAGTTAAAAAAAATATTTCTGGTAGTTGAACAGAAAGATCCTCTTTTGATATAGCCCTTTTTTCTTTTTTAAATTTATCCTGTTGGAAAGGAATGTCATTTTGTAGGTTATTACATGAACAAAAAATATATCAACAGACATGGTAAAATTTATAATACTAACTTTTAAAATCTATATTGGGGTAAAATTGGTTATTTAAGAGCTCTAAAGTATTGCAAGTAACGGCATATTTTCTTTTTTTTTTGTTGTTGTTTCAACTCGAGATTAAAATCTAGTTTTACCGGTAATAAATGTTTAATCTAATTTAAATTAAATTAAAACCATAATTCAAAAGCAAAATAAAACTCCTATGAAAATGACACATAGATAAAATGGCTTCAGGAAATAATTAAATTTGTTTTCTAGGTCTAATTAGGGAATATCAAGGTAATTTTTCTTCCTCATTGGCTACGTAAAGTTCGACTATCATTAACATTTTGATTTAATCGTTGAAATTGCTTTTAAATTTCCCTGTCGATTTTCTATAGAAGTATAAAAAAAAGCAAGCACAACATCCAAACATTACGAAGGAACTCTGTTAACAGCATCAACATGTGCTTTAAAATTTAGTCTCTGCTTGCCATGATTGCACGAAAAGCTTCAGCAAGAAGCGCAAAAATTATACTACTATGATAAATCATTCCAAAAATTAGAAGTCACTGTCTTATCCCTTAGAGCTTATCATTGAAAAAAACCCCATGTATTTCTATTAGTATGACACAAATTAAAAACAAGTTATAACGTAAGTAACATGAAATATGAAGATGAGAACAATAATCAAGTAGCTCAAAGTCCATTGAAACAATACAAATTGCGAGCAGAGCAAACAGGGACCTTTAGAAACATCAGAGGTGGGTTTCTGCATTAATTTACATCTCTTTTACAGTGATGTCTCTGAATCATATAGACATTGCACTCAATATAAAATTGGAAATTAAACGTACAATGATCAAAGGACAAAATGCCAAAAAGGCATTTTAAACTGTTAACAGAAATTTTATTTCGGTAAAAGCTTTAAAGTTTTTATACGAAAAGCATGTAAAGAATTATCAAGATTTGAAATACAATGTGTATGTCATTAAAACATACATATAAGAAGGAAACAAAGTTTTTACTTGTTTCCGAGAATTCGATAGAAGAAGTAATTAAAAAGAGGAGAAAAAAATAATGTTTAAATTCTCAAATAACTGAGAGAGAGAGAGAGAGAGAGAGAGAATACTTTTACTGTTTCAATCTTCTAACGGTACAATTTATCTGGGAAGTGTTTATGTCTTCAGTATTACAACAAAATAATAGATTTATTATTAATATAGACTAATTACATGTAATTATAGACTAAAGAAGTAAAAGTATGTGAATATTCGTAGGGGCAACACAACGAATTGTCAGGTCTGAATGAGAATATACATCAGAAAGTGCAATAGGTATATATCCAACTCACTCGTCTTGGTTCTTGGTTTATGTTATATTTGTTGTCGTTGCATTATAACATGTACAAAAGTTTAACCTTGTTCAACTTACATGTATAACTACGTGTGTGTGTTTCTCCATTACCGATTTCTGAGCTGAACATGTATACTTTATAATTCTGGTAATGACACTGTCCTAGTTCCGGAGTATGTTTCAGAATCATAATCCGCTCTCTGCTCGGATACTTCCTGACGTGTGAACTAAGTATGAGTATTTGTCATTCACTGTACTCATAATGGAAAAGTAATAAAAAAGACATTTCCTTTTACATTATGAGTCCAGTAATCGTTTCATTTACCGATATTTTGATATAGGTCTGTGGTCAAGTGATACGCACCATTTTGATCTGCGGTTCAGAAAATCAAATCTAATGTCTAAAATATAATAAACAACTTAGACGACTGATAAAAGGTATGGTTTCTAAAGAAAAGCCCAGTCTGAAAACTAATTCATGCTATTTCAACCTTGTATAGAGTTATGACGTCACCAAAAGAAAAATGATTTCATAGTTCATAAAATTTGTAAATTCATGGGAAATACTTGCCCACAAAGTCCGTGCAATTAGTATTTTAAAAAAGATGTCACAGATTTATTTTTTTAAACTACTTGCTGAGGAAAAATACATACCTTTGTAGAATTTTAAAGGCAGTGAGCATGTCTCGCCATTACATGTTTTGATTTGAAAGCAATACGTTCAGTACGTAAAAAATCTCAAGCTTAGTTGACTTTATTTCAAATAAGTAAATTGAATCAATTTAAATGATGATAGAAAGCAATAAACAGAATACTGTAAAATCATATATTTTCTTGGATTACATTTTTGTGGTTTGAGGAAAACATATGGGTTCATGGGGACTTGATTTCGTGGATGGCGAATTATCGAGTATCTGTGTGTATAATTTTTTCCTTAGTGGTATGCATGAATTCGTGAATCTCTTCATACCTTGAAAAATTATACCCTACGAAAATAAGTCATGTCAAAGTCAAACATTCATTCATCATCAAATATAAGCTTCAAATTTCAATGCTCTTGATTTCATAATCAATTCCAAAAATCAGTATCGAACGGAAAAACGAACGAAGAGCAGCAAGAATTATCAATATGATAAAAACATCTCCAAAACTCTGGATATATCCATGTATTAAATTATTTCATCCCTTGCCCCACAGGGAAATTTTTGTTTAGTCTTTATGTCCGTCCTTCTTTTTTGTTTTGAGTCCTTTAATGGAATGAATGAAATCTAGTCGTTGACCAAAGTTTATGACATTTGGTAATGGCTTTTAGTCAAGGGAACAACAGGAAGATCAAATGATGTTAAAATATAATGGATCTACTTGAAATCCCTTTCTGGAATACTAACTTTTCTGTAGACTTTCGAAATAAGAAATGATTTGAAAGTGTCTCTAACTCGACTGAAAGTAAAATGTAAAATTCAGTTGAAATAGGTAATTATTTTCCAATTTAAAACTGATATCCATGCTAAATCATTTTTTCCAACTAAAGAAAGAAGCATAAATTCCATAAAATATTTTGATTTTAAAGGTATATGTTTATCAAAAGTGGATAATCTTGTCAAAATGTTTTGAAAAGCTTTGAATGTTCAGGAAAAAATTCCAGACAGTATGTATAAATGAGATATTTTAAAATTACAATTAACGTACCTGGTAATACAATTATCGCATAAATATGGAATGTCGATGGGTACTTTATTGTTTTCATATGAATTACATTTAATTTAAAAAGATAGTTTGCATCCTGGTGCAATGGACGATAATTAACTTTGGCTCTAATTTGGCACAACCTTTGAACTGAAAGGATATAAACGAAGTCTATATAAAACAGCAATAATTCAAAAGGGAAATTAATCTCCGTTGTACAGCATAGCTTTGATAAATTAATTTTATGTGATAACAAATTTTACGAAAATATGAATTATCTAGTATGGGATATTTTATTAATGACACTGATGCTGAAATTAGCATCCCTGCAAATAACTCCGAAAGACCCTACATGTACAGTTAATTTTGGTCTTGAAAGGTAAGTGTTGGTTGGGTGTCCTTATAAAGAAATTGCTTGTAAATGCACTTTCTTCGGAGATAGATAGTTTAATCCCTTTTAACCATATTCAGAGGGAAAAAAAGATGCTGTGCTCATTATAGAACTATTGGATTGAAATGTTACCGTAAGTATGAATTACTGTTTCTAACTAAATTAATTTCTTTGAATTAAAAAAAACCCATGCCTAATAAATATGTACTTTTGTAGCTTGCGTAGGATCGTTCGGAATAGAATGCATGCAAAAATGCCCAAATGGGTTTTATGGTGTTCAGTGCGCAGAATTGTGTTCTTGTACAAAATGTAACAAAACAACTGGTGTTTGCCTCAACGAAACGATAAGTTAGAGTTATTTGCTTGATGTTAAAAAATAAATAACAGATTATTGTGCAACAATTTCAATGATTTCTGAAGTATTTTGATATTTATCAGCACGTTTATATTAGGAAGCTAAGACTTCTCTTTTTAAATCCTGAAGTTTTATTTGCTTTTAAAATATACGGCAGATTTAAATTTTATCGACTATCTTTGACCAGTATCATTTTTTGCTTATACTCATTATATTGACTTTTTTTTTTACTTTTCAGTTTCAACAGAAGAACCAGATAAAACCAATCAATCCCAATTAAAATCAATCATAATTGGAGTAGGCACAGTTTTGGGAACTATTATAATTTTTATTCTCCTCTTCGTCTTATACACGAGGAACAGGTAAATTATTTTATGTCTAATTGACAACACATCCGGAATACTAACATAAACCTTTGTTTTTAAATGTACATTTTTATACATCCAAAACAGAAAACCTGGGGAAAAAGGTGGTGTGTACCAGAAGGAAAAGGGGAAATGCAATGATGAAAATTCATCATATTATAGACATATTGAAAGTCATATATATTATGAATGTGAGCCTGTTCCCAAGGATATTTTGGAATCACAAAACTTGAAAATAGAATCGAACATCAATTTGATCGAGGACGTAAATAAACCTGTTTGATAAAAAAACATAACAATGATGATGGTGAACCTTGGGGTTTCATTCTAAAAATCTGTATTCGATATAATAGAATATTAATTATGAAAAAGACTGTAATTGCAGTTTAATGAAACTTAATTATTTTGAAGTGTTGATTTTCAAGTGCTCAAGTTTATCAAGATATTTTAAAATATATTTCAACTTTCAAAGAATTTTGGCTTTGGTTTTTGGAGTCATTTGGACAGAATCCCGAAAATACAATACTCTTTATGTATTGCTTTTATTAATATGGAATATATGGAGATAAAAACAGTATTCAAGCTCAAAAGTCCATTAAACAATACAAAACAGGAGCAGAGCAAACACGGACCTCCAAAACATCAGAGGTGGGATGAGGTGCCATGGAGGAGAGAGCATCCCCTGCCGACCGGTCACACCCGCCGCGTGCTCCTTGTCATGATCGAGAAATAACAAAAAAATCCGTCGACAATTCAGTGTGTAAATAATGGCCTAACAATTAGTATGAAAAAAGTCAGTCAGCATTTGACTCAATGATAAATTGTATTAGCTGACAAGGTCACTGTATCGACCATGGAACTTACAAAATAATGACTTTAAACAAGACAGCTGATATTCTTGTTTCATCAACTTGTTTGTCAATGATTTACCTCGTTTTAGAAATTGCATATACGTAGAGCATGCTCTTGCGTATCGAATCAACTGAGAGATATATGCCCCGTATGCAGGTGATGAAGGTATATTGCTGCATAAGTAAGGGAAGATGACGATTGAAAAGTTAAAGTCATCACGTTTATCATAAAGCTTGGTTGTTAAATTACCATTAACGCCTTTTTCAAGTAAAATATCCAAATATGAAACAGATGTGTCAGACTCTGTGGTATCTTTTTATCTCAAGCTCACCAGGATATATTGTATCGACATAAGAATGGAAATAATCATTGTTAATTGACAATATGTCGATATATCTAAATGTCGAGTTGAAGGCCACAGCAAATGTTTTCTTCTTTTCACGTATAAGATTTTGGACAAATTCTGCTTCATATGAATACAAAAAAAGGTCTGCTAATAACGGGGCGCAATTGGTACCCATGGGAATTCCAATATATTGTTGGAAGACCTGGTCTCCAAAAACCACATAGATATTGTCAATCAGAAACTCAAGCATCTTTTTAATATCAACTACGGAGAACTTGTGTGTACAATCAGAATGTTTTTTAACAAAATAATTTTGCAAATGACCAATACCTTTTCAGAAGCGGGTGTTGAATTCCGAGAGAAAGGGACTAACTATTTTATATACATGTACATTCCTAAATACACAGGGACCTATTTCCTGCATTTTTTTGTTTGTTTTTATCAGAAGCATCAGCTAACGAATAGTTTTCAAGTTCATAGTCCATTTAAACAATACAAATCGGGAGCAGAACAAACACGGACCTCCAAAATCATCAGAGGCAGGATCAAGTGCAGAGGAGGAGTAAGCATCCCCTGTTTACCGGACACACCCGCCGTGTGATCCTTGTCATGATCGGGTGAACGGAAAATCCTTAGAAATTTCAGTGTGTTATTAATGGTCTTACAATTAGTAAGATAAATGTCAGTCAACACTTGGTCTTATGATAGATTGTATTTGCTGATAAGGTCATTATATAGACCAAAGAACTTGCAAAATGATGACTTCAAACGAGACTATTGATATCTTTATTTCATCAACTTGTTGGATAATAGCCTGCCTCGTTTTAAAAAGTGATTGTACGTAGAACATGCTCTTGCTTATCGAATCAACCGGGAGACATAAACCCCATATGCAGGTAATAAGGGTATATGGCTAATTTTATTTTTGCAATAATAGAAATTACAGTTGGATCCCGAATGAAGGCGGACCGTGATTTAGATTTTTAATACACCAATACGATAACTATCCACCGAAACACATTGCTGTCATAATAATACAATCAATAATTTAATACTAATTCGAAACGATGTCAATATTAAAAAGAAATAAGAACAATCGCAGCTCTGTGTCGGGTCCTTTAAATTTAGAATTGCTTGGCTGATGGATGTTGCCTCAATGCACACGTTTTTTATTTAATAATTTCGTTTTTTATTTTCGTTTTTTATTTGTTATTTTCGTTTTTTTAATTTAGTTTCAGTTTTTTATTTTGTAATTTTTTTGTTCTTTATTTAGTACTTTCTTTTTTTTATTTAGTTTTGGTATGCACTATTGGGCTTCTGTAGAATTGTTTTCTTAAAAAACTTATTACAACACTGAAAATAAATTTGCTATGCAAAATTTTGCCATATTTTCTAATAGGTGGACAAAGAGAGAGGATGCAAGTTAGGATGTTCTTTCGGTTGTATACAATAAACGAAAGCTAAATGCTTAGCTACATTATTTATATAATTAGTAATGTGCCGTATTATAAACCTTCCCCCAATGTAAAGTATCCCTCGAAGGATTTACTATATAGTTATTCTATGACACACTGTCGTATTGTACACTTTCCGCACAGCAAGTCTTCCCCAGGAAAGTTTACTATATAGTAAAGCTTCTCTCTGGGAATAATTGCTATATAGCAAATCTTCCTCCGGGATTCTCCACCATATAGTAAATTTTCCCCAAGGGAAAGTTTTTTTTACATAGCAAACATTCTCCATACACAGGAAATCATTCTCTAGATATTTTGCTGTATAGTAAATAGTACCCCTTATTCCGGATAATTATTCATAAATCGGAATTGAGTACATTCTTTTTGTTAATTTTGATTGTTAATAACAATGAAAACTGGATGTTGTCACAAGACAGTAATATCCGAGCGAAAGTGTTTGCCTCTAAATGTTTGCTAGCTCCTTTGCATCCTGGTAGCGAAGAATCAACAAACGATATTCTATAATTTACATAAAATATGTATACATGTACTAAATAGATCATAAAATGCACAGGTGAGCATATGACCATGGGCCTCGTATGTTAATATTTCAAAAAAAATTCATTACCGGTCTGAAATTAAAGATTGTGATGAAATAAATTCTAATTTTAAAAGAGAGATTTTTAGAAAAATGTTATTCTGTAAAGAAAAAAAGGAAAAAAATCAGCCAAAATTGGAACATGAAAATGTCATATTCCAAAAGTTGAATTGGTTACTGCTTCGATTGTATGAGGAATTACAGAAAAAAGAAAGTGTGACACACGGCTAGACGGACCATGATAACAACAATATATCCGAACTTTTTTTTAAAAATGTGCGAGTATAATTTAATTGATGACTGTTCAAGATCCGAATCAATAAATACATATAAAATAGTAAAAATGTATTTGAATGGACCACTGTCATAAAGTTTTAAATTCATATTAACTGGAGATAATGCAATAATAATACGCCTTCAAAGCTGAAATTTTCCCCATATTTTGTTGGATTAAAATGGTGTGGTCTTGATTGGGTCTGAATAATGTATAAAATGGCATGGTCACAAAATATTAATTAAAGATTTTGGGGGCCGGACTTCAACACAATATCTTTTGATAATCAGAAGTTCCAGAGAGATGAAACTTGTAATGATTATTTAGCAGATGGATCGACATTTTCTGTAAAAGGATATATCCTTATAGAATACGTAAAATCCACCACGATTTCGGTTAGGTGGGAAGGCTTACCATGCGGAAGAAATACTATACAGCAAATCTCCCATTGCAAAAAATTATCATTAAAAAAATCTTCCGGGGGATACTAAATAATGGGAGAAGCTTGACTCCAAAGGTCCCCATTTTGTAATTTTGAAATTTTAAAGAATATAAATAGTTTTTGCCTTCTGTTTAAACACCCAATTTTACGTTAACGCCCCCAAAATCTTCGTTATTCAAGAACAATAACATACCGCCTGTCAATCATAGAAAAAACAATAGCTATTGATTTGATCGACAGGCTAGGTACTTGTACTACCTGATAATCTGAGTTTGCATGTTTTGCAAACGATCAACTGGTCACGCGTCCAATGCTTTCATGTACCGCGTGAATAGTAGCTTTGTATGCACTCTGGTTAAAAAAATTAAATCGCTGGAATATTGGTTGGTAATTGTATTTGAAATATTAATGAGACTTAATTAAATCTTGACTACATGAATTATTTTTTTCAATTTCCACTGCTTTGGTACTTGTAAGCGATATGACGTCCAAGATAACTAGCGGCCATTCGAGCCAATTTCTCCTTCAATGACGGAACTGGGATCAAGAGTAGGAAGAAGTTCCTGCGGTAGCACAGATCGATAACTCTTCGGAGCCCCTTATTGCTTAAACCTGTGCCTGGATTTCAAGAATGTCCGTATTGCCTCTGTCAACTTGGGTACACAAAAATTCCGTTTCACCATAAATGGAAAGAATTAACCCTCTCCCCCATCAATTAAAATTGTAAGAAAATGGAATTGAATAAATGAGAAAAGATCATTTAACCTATCGGCATGACATACCTGTAGATATTATAGATGTTTAAAAAAATCCCCTACGTGTCAACGTACATATGTAGCCCTAAAATTGTCTTGGTATACAGCGGGCTTATCTTTGAACTGCATTTGGGGGTGTCATTCTATTTTTTTTATTATTAGAAAAGAGCAGATTACAAAATATAAAACAATTAATGTACACCATGCGGTGGAAGAAATGTCACAATT